CAAGCCGCGTTCTCCTTGAATGAATAACTTGGCTAAACCTTTTAATGACCTCTTGGCAAATACTGTTTTCTGTATGTCCGTCCATCCGAAGAGTTCGGCTACCTCTTCGTAATCCGAAATCCAACGAGCTACAGAATATTTGTCATCTCCATTAAAAGACCTGATCGAGTCTTCCACGTCCCTGAACGTCATCGCGAATTTATTCTTCATCGTCGTTTTTTCAGTCTTCTTTGCTCGTCGATCATCTTCGTGGTCGCTATTCGTTCTATTATCATCTTCGTCTTCGTTGGTTTCTTCTGCGTCGTCTTCGCCGTGAGCTTCATTGTTATCGTCGTCGTGAGCTTCATCGTCATTGTCGTCGTGAGCTTCGTCGTCGTTGTCGTCGTGAGCTTCGTCGTCGTCGTCTTCCACAGCGTCTTCTTCAGCGTCTCTTCTGTCGTCGTTTGCGTTGCTAAGCGAATCGAGATCCATCAGGTAGTCGCATATTCGCTGCTGCAACTCTCTCTTCGTACCTGCGTAGTCAACTGCCAAGACGTTACAGATTGCAACTAAATCTCCCCAGCCGAGGGCTGCTTCCGCATATGCTAATTTATTCTTATACTCTTCCGATCCGCTAGCGAATGTAAAGCCACCGAATTCACGCAGTCGCTTCCTATTGCCGCGGTCTCCTTCTTTCTCGAACACTAACCTGTGCAGTGCCCTTATAGCCTTCGTCGAACTCGTTTTGAGGTTATTGGCGATTACCTTGATTTGTTCAAGCCTTTCCATTGTCTTTATGGTTTTTTGTCGTCTTTACCTTTGGAAGAAGGTCTCACCCTCGTCGTCGTTTCGTCAATTCTAACCTCAAAATTTCTATCCACGTGGCGCGCTCGGATCGTCGTTGCACCTTCGGCTCTTTTTCTTCGGCCAGATCCCGGACGAGCCGCCAATATTTGTAGGAATCGGTTAAAGTGTAAAAGAAGCCGTTTATTGATACTGATACAAAGCGTGAGAAGATATATAATATAACAGAAAATTACAGATTTCAAGCTGATAATTGTCTAAGTCTCTCGTCTCGTCGTTCTAGTTAGACTACGCCCTCTCTTGCCTTTCCGCGCGTTTTGCTGCTTACGTCATACAGTTTTTGTCCGTCGCGTCAGTAGCGTCAGTTGTGTCGGCGTCACCTACGCCGTTCCCACAATAGAAAAAACTTTATTTTTTTTTTAAGAGCTTTGCAGTTGGTGAATCTGTCGGATGAAAATGACAAATGGAACTGGCTGGCGCTTCTGCAGAAACGTCGTATTCCAATGTCTTCGGAAAGTCTTGTTGCTCGTTTGAGTACAGATAACGGACTTCTGAAGACACTGTGCAATCATGTGATAACTGCCACGGATACTTACTCCCAGCAAGCCACTTGCTTGAGCACGTTGTATGCGTTTTACACTACTTCGGTGTTGGGTGTAATTCAACAAGCGTCAACTGTTACCGAGGTTCAGATAAATCACATTCTGCCTGCTCTTTTGCGTGGTCTGAGAAGTCCTATTACTGATTTCACCTCCAGCAACTACATGATAATCGCAACAGTTACGACAAAGGTAATTAATGTCTTCATCTATCATTTATGTCTTGAGAATTTTTATGATTAACGTTTAACTTTGGTAAAATAAATATACAAAATTGTACATTATTTTGATATTATGGAACTTTAGATGATGTTTAATGCCGATACTATGGAGAAGTTATTGTTGAAGACCTTCAAGAAGACACACTTGAAGAAAGAAGCTACAACTCT